GCTGTGATCTGACTGAGCAGTTTCACTTCCAGTGGTAAACATCATAAATATTCCAAAATCTAACACAGGTGTTGGGCCTAAAAGGTGATTATGATAAGGAGAAATTGCCAAAAAGAGTAAACAGATAATATTTTCATACAATGCAACAGCTTGTCAGAAGTAATAGTTGGACTTCTGTCCTTACATAAAGATACAGATATTCAACTATTTTGTTTTAGATAAGCTAATTTCTTTTGTGTAGAGCCAAGGAGGAATAGGAATGTCATGATGTCTCGCTCATTCATAATTTGTGGGAATTAATAAATAGCACCAAGCCCTTATGCCTGGTATACCTATCTCAGGGGCACAGATGAACTCTCACCCTTATTTGAGCTGTTTATAAGAAAATTATTTCTATCAGCAAGAGCCTGAGGTTCCAACCACCTGGCTGGAACGCACCCTGCCAACCGCAATGATAGCTCAGTGTTTCTGGACGATGATTTGCCCTATCATATAGGGCAGAGGCTTGAAGGCATGAGAAAAGGTTGCTGCAACACCTTGCTGGGCATTCTGCTCCTCTAAAAATGAAATCAGTCAGTGTTGTGATGCCCTTGGTGTTTTCGTGGAAGTGGCTGTATAAAACTGGCAGCCAACGTGAGTATTAAAGCTTACAGTGCACACTTAACGAAAGACTTCTAAAGACTGAGTGTGTATGTGTGTAAGGGGATAGTGTAGTCCCCTTCTGTCTTCCTCACTCTTTATTCAACTTCTAGCATATAGAATTTTCTGTATTTTAAACTCCAATGGATTTGAAGGAAATAGACTTGGAACCAGAACTCAGATCTACAACTGGTTTTAAGGTCTTCTCTGACATTCTATTTACTTCATTTCTCCTGTCTGGAGAAATGCTATTACAGTATCTAGTTACAGAATGTTGTGGCTAAGTGCTATACAAACCTAGAATAAAAAAATATTCACTCCAAGCCCAAAGAGCCTTCTGTATTTCCAGAAAATACTTTCACAAAAGTACTTTGTTAATTAATTTACAAAGTATTTTTTTTTTCAAAAAAAGTTATGAGAAGAGTAGACTGATTAAACCCAACATAACATTGACTGATAGGAGACACAAATCAGGTTTCCTTTCTCTTAAGTTATAAGGAATACCAAGTGGCAAATGCCTCTTTTCCCACACTAGCTATATGATAAAAATCAAAAGGCAATATTCTGAAATTCTGAAATTTTTGAACAGTTTTCAAAACCTTGACTTTGAAATCAGATTAAAGTTATGAATGCAGCAAAACAATCCCACTCAGAGTGCTCACTGGGTGTTATCTTCTAAACGCAATAAAATAGCTCATCTCCCTTTTCTGTTACAATGTTTTCACTAAGTATCTGACATTTACAGCTAGCATTGCACTAGTGAGGGATTTTCACTCTGTTCCTCAAATGGAAGTTTCTTATGAAATGATAAGGAACAGTTCAGAATTGTGACAGAAACATTAATAACTCTGCACTGCCCAATTTTAAATGTGTTTAAATATAGAGCATTTCAGTACATAAAGCAGGAACATAAGTGCTAGCATCTCAGAAACTTTTAGTATGCACTGCTGAATATACAAACGTACGTTTCAAAACCACACAGATACGAAAATTTGCAATTCAGAAATTAAACTAGTTCAATAAAAAGAATAAAATAAAATATTTCTTTCTGTCTAATGGCAAAATACCCTGATGCTGCTATTTTACAAAGGAAAATTAACGACCGTTTTTTAAAAAGGAAGCAGCTCTTCTCTGTAGTTTAGAACTGATTAGTAAATGGATATGCAGGAAGCTCTTTGCGGAATTAGACAAATATGAGTCTGTGCACTTCAATCTATTTTATACATGTTCTGCAAGACCTCAACAACTAGAGCTAATGCTCCCTCAGCTCCATTGAACTAATTAAGCTAGGTCATTATATTAATAATGGGTTGCCCTTCTGTCTGCATTTATGGCACTTAGCAAGTCAGTGCAAGAGTGAACGCTTATCTCACGAAGGAGAGAGCTCCTGAATTAGATTAATCCATCAAGATAATTAATGTGACTTGATTACTGAAAAATCTGGCATATACAAACAGGTATCTGCAGTCATAGGATGCAAGCAACAACACTCCAAAATACTGAGCAAGGCCCTGAGCCTGTACTATTGAATAAAGAGGTGGCTGACACCAAGACATGGTGACAGGCTGCTGATGTGGTACATGCAAAGGGTGCCACAGGATCTGAATGTTGCTATCAATGCTTAGGTTAACTCAGCTGAGTTGATATTTTGCTACAAACACTTCTAATGCTATTTGTCATATAAAAACACCTCATTGAATTAGTTTCAGTTCTCTTCTTTAAGGGGCATGGAAGAGCAGAGATACTTGATAACTAATTAAGAAAAACTCTGCAGTCACCACCCCAAAAATATAAAATCGAATGCACTTTGGGTATGGCTTCAATAGCTTTCTTGTTTTGCCAATTCTTTCAGCAGGCACTTTACCTCCTTCAGTTCACTTGCTGACAGAGTGCCATAGACAAAGTTCCTAATGGCTTGGAACATTAGTTCCTTACGCTGGTGACAATTGGCTGAGAGCAGAATGCAATAATTCTTCTGTATCATAAATACTAAAATATAATGAAAAGTTGATAGCTGGGATAAGGGAAAAGGTTTCAAAATTGCTGAAGTGGAAATTTATAAAGAACAAAGGTTTTCTTCTTGGCAGAGAGAAATACACATGTGAGCTTCTATGTAGTACGATCTATTACAAAACAAATGAAAAAAAAATCCTAAGTTTTTTAAGTGATCTTAATGCTGCCTCCTAGAAGCTGATGGGCAGTTTCAGGATTTCTGTTATCAAGAATGCAGGTTCTCCCAAAGGGGAGAAACCCTTGGCTCAGTCTCACACCTACAGACCCACTATATTCAATTTGTTTTTCTCATAAATAGTGAGAAAGACATGAAGTGATTCAAATCCCACAGAAGTATTCTTCAGCCTCTCCATGTCCCCTCTGCACTCCCAATCACAGGCTGAGGATCCAAAGATTAGGACTGGTGAACTGCCAAGGATCTTTGTAGGCACTGGAGTAGGAAACAAATTGTCCGTATGGTTTGTTAAACAAACAAACAAAACTGTCTATTCAATTAAGCTGTTTGTTTAAAACAAGATATATTGAAGTAATTTAAGACTTTATGAGTACAAATTTGTACAGGTATTTGTCTGCAGTGAAACCCTCATTTACAGTTGAGGGTAGTGGAGTGCTCTTAGGCCTCAAAGGCCTGATTCATGGCACTATTCTATGTGTTTCCTAACAATACATGGCAATATAGGTAGCTCAACATAGCCATAAAATAGCTGTTTGGATGCACAATAGCAAATACATAGTAAAACCAGAAAATTTTGAATTAAATTTAACAGCATGGGAATCACTGGGTGCAGCTCGCAAAGGAGGTATTAAGCTCAGGTATAACTACTAGTGTGACTAATGATATATACAGAACAAGGAGCTATTTCAATGAACAGTAGAACAAGAGGAAGAAAAAAATATCAAACTAAAATGATGCCCTGTGCAGGCTATCTTAAAACATTTTTGACTGTTATTTCAAAATCAAATTTCCACAAATAAAGAGAAAAATGTCATTCATTGCAGCACTTTTTGTAAAGTCGGAAGGTTAAAAGAAAATAATTTTGTAACCAAGCATAAAATAGGCATTTGAAAAATGATTTAGCTGGGGAAAAACACAATTTTTTCCACATTAAGATAACTTAAGAACACCCAAATTGATTTTTATTAGACTTCTCATAATCACTTCTGAGCTGACACATGCATGAGACATTCAGCCCCAAAGGTCACTTCTGAGAAGGCTATAAGTAACTGGAAACAGCACTGCAGGATGAAATGATGTCTCATTGCTGACTATTACTGCTGGAGAATGATGAATATTTTACTCCTGAGGCTAAGAGACAGATCCTGTAAATAAATTTTCATTTCTTGGCAGTGCTGATAGCTGAAATGTGATGTGATAGAGCTGGTTTTCCCAATCTTAGTTTTTTATTTAAAGAGAGGGCGAGATGGATGCTGGCAAGGCCTGTGGGCCTGTGTTGGAGGGAGCTCACCACACACTTTTCTCCATGGCCAGCAGCGGGTGGCACAGGGTGAGCCCTGGCTCCTCACATGGTGAGTGGCCGTGGCCACGGCAGTGCCCTCCTCCTCCACTTCCTCCATGCTGCCCCTGCCTGGGCTGCTCAACACTCTTCTAAAACTTCATCTCGAATGCCTGATGCAAATGTTGCTGGTCAGCCTGGCTGTGAACACTTTATTCACCTTCCCCAGGATTTGGTTTCCCCACATTTTATTCTCTGCTCCACCTCTTCATTTTGGTGCCAACACTGGTCACTAAGGTTGTTTAGCGTGGAGAAGAGGAGGACAGGGAGACTTTGTCACTGCCTACAACTCCCTGAAAGGAGGTTGTAGCCAGGTGGGAGTCGGCCTCTTCTCCCAGGTAATTAGTGAAAGAACAAGAGGACACAGCCCCAAGCTGTGCCAGAGGAGGTTCAGATTGGACATTAGAAGGAATTCGTTCACAAAAAAGGGTGATTAGATATTGGAATGGACTGCCCAGGAAGGTGGTGGAGTCACTGTCCCTGAAGATGCTTAAGGAAAGACTGGACTTGGTACTTAGTGCCATGGTTTAATTGACATGGTGGTGTTTGGTCATGGGTTGGACTCGAGGTCTCTTCCAACCTGATAGATTCTGATTCTGTGAAAACAAAACACAAGAGGAGGCCTCTGGTGAACTACAGCTTTTCACCAGAGCCGGTCGGCCGGCTCTACTATCCATACAGGGCAGCGACGCGAGCAGCAGCTCGCTGCTTGTAGCGGCTTGTGGCTGCTTGTGTCTCCCCACGGCGGAGTACCCAACTCTTCTCCTTCCCCGTTTTTTTGTTTCCACCGGCCCCGCCTCCCCACGGAGCCGTCACGGCCCTGGCGCAGGCGCGGCTCGGCCATGTCGGCGGCCGTGGAGCGGCGCCTGGCCGAGTTCCGCGCCGCCCGCGGTAGTGCTGCGGCCGCTCCGCGCCCCGCGGACCCGCCGGGAGTGTCCGCGGCTCCGGAGCCCGCCGAGGGACCGCCGGCCGCAGTGGGCCCGGGCGGCGGCGCTGCTCAGGTGAGCGCCGAGGCGGGCGGGTCGGGGGTGCGGCGGCCAGTCGGTGCCTGACGCCGCGTCTCGCTGCCGCCTCCGCAGGTCCATCCCGCCCCGGCGCCGGCGGCTCCGGTGTGGGCGCGCCCGCTGCTGCTGAAGGTGCTTCTCTGGGCCGTGTTGCTGGCGCTGTTCGCGGAGCTGGAGCTGGGGCTGCCCTACTTCGTCCTCTCCTTGCTCTACTGGATGTACGCCGGCACCCGCGGCCCCGCCGAGCGGCGGCCCGGCGAGCTCAGCGCTTACTCCGTGTTCAACCCCGGCTGCGCCGCCATCGCCGGCACGCTGACGGCCGAGCAGCTGGAGCGGGAGCTGCACTATCGGCCCGCCGCGGGCAGGTAGCGGCGGCCCGGCGGGGACAGCCGCTGTGCTGGGCCGGCCCCGCCGCCGCCGCCGTCCCAAGGACCCGAGGAAGGGCCGACGGGGGAGGAGACGGGGGTTGTTTCTATGCAAAACGCCTTCTTGAGCCTTACTGCTGGCCCCGAGTCCCCCGGCGCCGTCCGGTCCCGAATAAAGCCCTAGCAAAGCCCGCGCTCTGGTCTGGTTTCCTGGGGGCCGGGCAGCTGTTGCGGCCGCTGTCGGGCGGCCCCGAGAGGCACGGTCTTGTCACAGCTGTGGCTGCCAGCGTGTCAGCTGGTGCATTTCAGCTCCATAGGAGTTTTGCCGCACCTTTGACTACACCTTCACTAGAATGGTCCAACTGCTGCTCTTCCCAGTACTGGCTGGAAGCCTCTTTCTGGAGAAAAGACATGAAGAAGTGCTATCCATTTATCTAAAACAGACTGCTGTTTCAGTTTGCACTCGTGTCTTTGATCTAACACAAACATCTGATTATCATGCAAAGTCCGTTTGCTTCATATTAGTTCTCATAATTTGTAACATAAGCAAAAAAAAAGACTTATGCCTGGCAGGTGTACTTGTATGATCCGCCACTATTTTTAATATAAAGATCATTGCATTAAACCAGATCTGCCCAGCAAAGTGGTAGAATCACCATCTCTGGAAGTGTTCAGAAAACAGGTGGATGTGGCACTTGAGAACATGTTTTAGTGGTGATTGTTGTGGTGGTGCTAGGTAGACAGTCAGACTTGATCCTAAAGGTCTTTTCCAACCTTAACGATTATGTCATTCAATGAAATCATTAAATCATAGTGAAGAGCAGCTGCTAGAACTTGTGCCTCTAAGGACAAAGTTGAGAAAAAACCCCACAAATTGGTCCTTCAAATCCTGATTTGTTATGCCTTGTCTAATTTAACTGTTAAACACAGTGTTCAGGCTTGAGTTACCGCAAGTTTTCTCATTGGTTGTGGAAACAAAAGGAAGTGGTGTTTTGAATTTAACTGGACTGGAAAGAGATTAATAGATTAAAGCATACATAATATGTTAACACTGTTAAGCATCACTCAGTAGTTAAACATCTCTCAGTAGCTCTCCACAGCACTCTCACAGCTTTTTAGGCTTTTGTCTAATTTCCAAATGCCGCTATTTAAAGCCAACCCCAGAATTTTTTGATTTGCACATAATCAACCATCCCCTGGTAAAAATCCCTCAGAGTTCTCATTATTATTACACATTCCTCTTGACTGTACAAATCACAGAAGCACAGAATATGCTGAGTTGGAAGGGACCCAAAAGGATCACAGAGTCCAACTCCTGGCCCTGCAAAGGACCATCCCCAGGAGTCACACCATGTCCCTAAAAGTATCATCCAAACACTTGAACTCTGTCAGGCTTGATGCTGTGACCACTTCCTTGGGGAGCCTGTTCCAGTGCCTAACCACCCTCTGGGTGAACCTCTGGGTGAAAAACCTCTTTCTTATATCCAACCCAAACCTCCCCTGACACAACTTCAAGCCATTCCCTCGGGTCCTGTCACTCATCACCACAGAAGAGATCAGTGCCTGCCCCTCCTCTTCCCCTCATGAAGAAGTTGTAGACTGCGATGGTCTCTCCTCAGTCTCTTCTCCAGGCTGAACAGACCAAGTACCCTCAGCCACTCCTCACATGGATTCCCCTCAAGGCTCTTCACCATCTTCACTGCCTTCCTTTGGACGCTGTCTAATAGCATAATATCTTTCTTATATTGTGGTGCCCAAAACTGCACACAATATTCAAGGTGAGGCTGCCCCAGTGCAGAGCAGAGTGGGACAATCCCCTCCCTTGACTGGCTGGTGATGCTTTGCCTGATGCTCCCCGGGACATTTGGCCCTCCTTGGAGCCAGGGCACTGCTGACTCATATTCAACTCGCCATGAACCAGGACCCCCAGGTTCCTTTCCATGGCACTGCTTTCCAGCATCTCATTCCGCAGTCTGTACGTACATCCGAGGTTGCCCCATCCCAGGTGCAGAACCTGGCACTTCCCCTTGTTAAACTTCATACAGTTGGTGATTGCCCAGTCCTCTAATTTGTCAAGGCCTCTCTGCAGGGCCTCCTTGCCTTCAAGTGAGTCAACAGCTCCTCCAGTTTTGTGACATCTGCAAAATTGCTTAATGTCCCTTCCAGTCCTGTGTCCAAATCATTTATGAAGAGGCTGAAGAGGACAGGGCCTAAGATGGAGCCCTGCAGAACCCCACTAGTGATGCTGCATTTTGGTTTTGATTAACATAGGTTCTGCAGGTTCAAAGGCCTCTTTGTAGTGGACACAGAGTAGCAAATATAAATATTTGTTTCCTCAGAAGAACCATGAACTGTCAACCTTTCCATTCTTAAACGCTATTCTAATTATAGGTCAAGAAGTAGTCAGATGATACTCAAAACACCTGTAAACAATGGAATTTTGTGAGTTGAAACTTTATTCACAATGATAAAAATAAACATCAGCATAGTGTTTATGGGGAATTGATAATCTGACATCCTGTACAGTTCAATTCTGTGGGGTTTTTTTAAAACAAGGAAATACATGCAAATAAATATTAAATATAAGGTAAGATTCAGGAAATTATAAAACTTCATAGCAGCAATGCTGGAAATAAAGTTTTCACTTGCTATAAACTCTAGTTGCATTATGTCCAGATGGATTTATAGACTCTTGTACTTAATGCTTCATGAAACAAGTTACCACAATAAGTGAGCATGAAGCTGGAAGGCACAAGAAATAAAAACTGACACAGTTCATCTGTTCCAGTGCTTTGTGTTGGTTCACCTATTTCATTCTACCCAAATAAATGTACATTACGCATTTTGAAATAGAGATGACATGAATAACAAAGGCTTGTAAAAGGTTTTACTGAAGTAGATAAAGAATGACAGAGAAATTGGCATTGAGACCTTGCACTGTCTCTAAATACATGAATACTGTAATTCTGCTTTAGTGGTAATAACTTTCACTGAGTTATTCTTAGAGGGGATTTAAAAAAGTTTGAAGAAGTGAGAGCTTAATCAGAGAGGGAAAAAAAATTCCTCCACAACCCTCTGCTTGGCTAAGACCTCACTCTGTTACCTAATTTTTCTCTTGTATTCTAACAAGGCAAAAGTTACCAAGATAAGTTTGATATCTGGTGCTGGAGCTATTCTTGTGGGCCCAAAGCCCTCACTTCTCAAATGACTAGAGGGACAACTCAAAAGCATGTCAAGCTGTTGAAAGAACCTTGTGACAGCAACTAAGTACAGGTTTGTTACCACACATGGAAATGCTCTCTATTCCTATGACTTTCCTCTTTCATTTGTTACATACACGTTTTTTCCCAGCGCAGTAGTGAGTTAAAACACTTCTGTAACTTCCTGTTGTCATAGCAAAATTATCATCTTGCTAACAGCTGCACAAGCAGCAGAAACTTTTTTTCCCAGGTTTACAAGCAACTAAGCAGGGCCCTGGAAAACTAGTATCCACTCTTGAATATTAATGAGTGAAATTATTCCCTCCAGAGTGCATTATCCTACAGCTGCAAATTTCATCTGTCATCACGCTGCCTTTTCACCTACCAGTGACTATCATTTTTTTCCTGTTCAAAGCACATCAGAGTACATGGTAGATAGAAATATCAAGCATACTCTCTACGTATAGGAAGCTAATTAATTATATTTTAGGACAGCAGTTAATATCTGCATGTGGTAGTCAAGTATTGTATTGACAGTCACACAACACAGAAGCTAGTTATTAAATTTACAGAAGAACCTGAGGTGCTTCATTCCAAAGTTAGCTCTGCAACTGATGTTAAGGAGGGAAGGCCTGGGAATGGCCCACATAGAAGCCAGCATGCTAAACATATATAAGCCAGCCTGAGAACTGTGGTGGATTTCTACAAACATGTCTGACTTTCTCCCTGGAGCTCTATTACAAGTATTATAGCAGAAGAAGGTAACACATCCTCTCTTAATTCAATTCTAACCTGGTGATTCCAAAACTAATCCACACTGTTGGCAATTCGGATTCTAATACAATGATTAAATAATACCATGCAAAGCAATCTAGCTTCAGGCAGGAAAGATGCTGAATTACATCCCAGAATATCCAGTGTATTTTCTTGGTAATGGGGGCTGTGAGTGCAAGTGCAAAGAGACTTGAAAATTGGAGGGTGGTAGTGGTGGTGGTGTGTTATTTCTGCTAAGTATTTCTTAACTGCTATGCCATGGAAGTTACTTACTAAAAAGTCTCTGAACAGGGAGATTCTCAGGACTAGTCTTTGGCATTTGGCCTCTGTTGTAAAGGGAGCCGAGTAACAGCTGAATAAAGATATGTAAAGCTTGCTATTGAGTGATGCAATGGATTATGTCCTGCTTGTAAAGGTACCTCTGTTTTTCCCCAGCAACTCTTGTAAACATCAGGGAGGGAAACACTGTGCAGTGCAAGTACAGTCACTGCACAAGCCCTCACTGTTTTAAACTCACAAAAGCTCGTGGAGTTCAGGATAGTGGGTTTGGGGATTTTTTTTTTTGGAATCCCACTCATGGGAAGCAGGCAGATTCTGGAGGAGGATGGCAGCCCACCCGGGCAGGAGCTCTCCTTGGTCCTGAACCTGTGCCCTATGCAAGGGCTGCCTTCCTGCCCCCAAGTGCGGGTACCTCATCTCTGGAGAAAAGGACCAAGGCTGAAGGAGAAACAAAAGTGAGCCCACAATGCCAACCAGTGCATCTTTTCAATGCCATGAGATGTGCTAAGACCAGCAGTGGCCACTAGCTGACTTCTGTGTGCTTGCACCCACACGAAACAGAGTAAAGCTTCGACAGAAAACATTCTCTTGAAGCAGAAGTCATTATCCCATCCCTGTGTGCCCACCAGACAAGCAGAGTACCAATTGGAATGGAAGGGCTGTGCATTTAGGGGACACTTCCATCCAAGTCAACAGAGATAATGTGTACCTAATTCTGTAATTCTAGCAGATGAGGCCCCTAACAGATACTGAGTTTGGTTCTTTGTTTTTTGTTTTTTTTTTTTTTGCAAGTGAAGCTTAAAAAGAGCATTCAGAAGTGTTCAAGTGTTCACCAAACTACCTGCTGTAAATTGATAAACCTTCAGGATGCTGTCCTTCACCTACACAGAAAAAATGTTAGTATATTTTCACCTTTAACTTTGGGAAACTCCTACTACA